TTAATAAAAAGGACAGCCTGGATTCAGTGACATATGGACTGTATCCAATATCCGTAGAGAGTTCGGAAGTGACGCCGTCGAGTCCCTTGCACCTTGGCGTCTCCGTACATCACATGACCGAGGTCTCGTCGCTTGAACATCTTGGGCGGTGTCACGTCCTTGTCGCCGGGTGATAATCCACAACTACGGAGAAATCACCACACCACAACCATCGCATCGACCGCGCTGTCTACGAAAACCACCCGTCCGTGCGGCGTGTTGAGGATCCCATTCTGCTTGCGTTTATGGACGTGCTACAACCGTCGGGTTCCAAGTCCGAGAGAATTGTGCCTTGGGCTCGTCTCGCGCTGCGCTCGAAACCACGCCGAACGAACCCTCGCTGATGGCTTCATCAGCATCAGTACACTTCACTGTCTCTCCAACACCTCCACCGAGGATTATACTCCTATCTTTTACATTTTCCGTCGCGTTCACACTTGTTACATAATCGTCAGGTCATTTACTCTGCCCCATGAAAGCAAAGATACACTTTGCTTCCGATGAAGGCTCGGCTAGCGGTGGCAGCCCGATAGGGATCAACCCGGTTGTAGTTGGCGGGCTGCCTAGTTTAAATGGCGTTCCTGAACGGCGGCCTTGAGCTCCGGTGGGAGTTCCTCCTTCGTGCCTTTGATGCGCACGAATTTGGCAAGGTCTTGGAAGTTGCGAAAAAGTTCACACTGTCCAGCATCGTGAAGTTGTTTGCAGAACTTGCATCGTTTGTTACAGTAGTGGGTGGAGTGACTCATGTCACCGCACACAGCGGATGTTACGTAGTGCGGACGTCGGCTGTCGCGATTGAAGTCGCGTCGAGCATGTTGGTCCTGATTGAGCCCACGGCCGCCCATGACGACTATCAGTCCGAAAATGTGGATGGTGATTTCTCATTGGATGAAAATGACCGACACTCACCGCGGCTAATGAACATGAGCACCGCGCGGCCGCTGAGGTACCTAAGCACGCTCCCACAACCGTCCGTCGCGTGGGAACATGTCTGATCGCGAGCGTGGCTTCAATCAAGATCGCCGAGGACTCGTCTTGGTCATCGTCGTAAGTATCCTGATCTACATTCGAATGCTCGGTACCCCCTAGAACAGCTTCACGACCCTCAAATCCAGCTAGTAGATCATCCATCGAGACTTCAATGAGCGTCACTCTCGGTTTATTGCGATAGTCGTCACGGCGACAGTCAGGTTCGTGGTCACGTCGATTGCTGCGGTCGTACGCATCATCGCGTCGGGCGTCACTCCTTTTGGAGTGTCGATACTTACCGTCACGCTTAGCCATTCGTTCCTTGCCCTTGAAAACATCTTCGATTATCTCTTCGAGCTCGTGCATGTCGGTGACTCGGGTGTGGTAGAGACTCTCCGCCAACTTGTCGTCACCGCACGTAGCCAGGAATTGCTGTACGTGCTCGTTCGCGTCACGACCACTCTTCTCGAAGTGAAGACGGGCGTTCCGAGCGTAGCCATTCAGCCTGTTTGTGTAATCGCATCGATGTTCATTGCGTTCTTGCTTTGCGGAGTAGTATCGGGACAGTGCTGTTTGCTTGAAGTGGGAGCAGTTGTAGCGGATGAAGGCATCGCTCAACAGCTTTCACTTGCACCTCGTCTTCTTCGGAAGTTGACGGAACCAATGTCCGTCCCGAAGGCTTAGCTTAAATGGAATGCACGATGTGTCAGCATCCGTGTGCGTCCAGTCATTTCGTAGACGAATGCACGGAGCCACTGCATACAGCTCTCACTCTTATTACGAGAGCCCGAGAACGACTTGATGCGATCCTATGGTCGGTGCGACGTCATTTCAATCCTCAGTGTCGGATCCGTGTCGTTCAGCGTTGCCAGCTCGTTCATCTGAAGCATCAACTCGGCTTGAGAGTCTTCCGCTTCGAGTGTACACACCAAAATGTCATCGTCATTTGACGAACCATCGCTGTCAGCCTGACGACGTCCGGCACCACTTTTGGAGGCTCGTGCACCTGACGACCGAACGAACCCTCGTTATCAGCGTACATACGTCGGATTCAGCTCTCCGAACGTGGTATAACGATGTACGAGTCTAGAAAGTACGGTGAAGCCTCGGTAGTGCCAAATGCACCACCACGATTGGTCGGAGGAGTATGGTCGAGTCTCTGGGGAGTCTGCGGCAGCGGAATTTTGGATGGATCTTCATCAAGAACGGTCGGTCGACTCACAGGCGGCTTCCCAGTGTTTAAGCCGACTGCACCAAATGCCTTCCGAAACTTTTTCTTCCGCTTCTGGAGAGAAGCTCAGGATTTCATGAGGATATCAATCTTGGAGCGACATCGTCGATGAATACGTCTCGTTTTTGAAGCCCAGCGGCAATAGCAGCAAGACTGAATCCTCGGCAACTTGGCTAGTCGAAATCAAGTTGACTGAATATAGAAGTTCTTGTGCAAACGCGGGCCCGTCGGCCTGTCTTTTGGGGATGGTCTTGAACAGCTGCATCCACTCATCATTCTGCATCAGCGCCTGTACGCGGTCGAGGACGCGCTTGGCGGTTGGTGCAATACCGTTGACAGGTGGCCGATGTGCCTTCAGCAATACTGAGCGCTTTTCACTCGCTACCGAGGGTCTAGAACTCTCGATCCCATCGTCATCTTCCTCATAGATGGGTTCTGACCCTGCAACGTCATCTAGCTCGTCGGCGAGGCTCCTCGAAAGGGACCTGGTCGCCACGCTCATCCCTGATGATAGCGTGGCCGTCTCCAGTGTCGTTGCACCTGGCTATGGAGCCGGCGTCTTGCCTTCTTAATCGTCGTAATCATGGGCGTCGGGACCGATGTCCGCCTCGTCCTCGAAGTTCACCGAAAGCTCGGTGGCAGCTGCAAGGCGTGCAGCCGTCATGTCCGGACCTGAGTTCTCGTTTCGTGCTCCGCCAGACTTGACAGGAGTAGTTGATACCGTCTATTTTCCTTTCGCCATTTTTTTCTTGTTTTCTTGTTCTTATTCTCCTCTTGGTAGCTCGTAAACTGGATGATTATTCAAACAGGTCACAATGGTCACACTCTGTTCCCAGTTCGCGGCACCCGTTGTGGTGCTGGAAATCCCACGTGAACACTAGCTACAAATGTAGTTAGGAAGCTCCCACAACAATACATCTGGGATAGCAAATGGCGGGCCTGAAGAACCCAGTTCTGCCCTTGCACCGGGACAAACTGGACCTTGTAAACTACCTATATAGATCAACCTGTAAAAATAGAAGCACGCTACTAGCACGAGCAAAGCTAAAAGGTGTTATGAATCCTCGTGGTCCGAACAGTGGAAGGGTACCAGGCACGGGTAAGCCTTTTACGAGGGCACCGAGTGCTCAACACTCGGTTAGAAGAATAAATGGGATGCAATACAAGCACTCCCAATCGTGCAAATAGGAAACAATAAGCCGTCACGTAGATCCTCCCGATAGAAGTCGGCCAATGCAAACACATTCTCTTGGCGTTGCCAGATGAACCCTCGTTACAGAGCTTCGAGCTCACGACAGGCATTTCACACTCAAACAAGCTTGACCAGATGTTTACCTTGAAGCCGGACGTCGCTCTGTGTGCTTGAGTGGACCGTAAAGTCACCATACATCATGTGATCGAGTGTTCGTCGATTCAGCGTCTTGACGGCGCCGCATCTTTGTTGACGGACGTTTTTCCTCAACTCTGGTGAAATCACTACACCACAGATCTATGGCTGTGTCAACACCGTCGGTTGATACCACCGAATCAGCAGAAAAACAGGTTTGAGCGGCCCGGCGGGCTATAGCATCACCTGACACGGCAGCTGTCGAAGGAACACGAGGTGACAGCAGCATTTACGCTGCGCGTAGTAAACCTGGGCATCGGGCTTTTAGTGTCTGTAGTATTCAGAGCAGTAAGAGATTGTTAAATTACAAAACAATACAATACATGACATCAATACATGATAGCTTGAATCATATCGTGTCCCAGACAGGTACGGCTTACCTTGCGAGTTGGGGGTATTCGAAGAAGGGAGAGAATGCATGGCGACTGAAGGTTGCTACTTCCGCCGTAACTCCTCTGTCAAAAGTCGATTTAATAGCGTATAACACGTGGCATGCAATTAGCACGGAGCATATTGAGGTCAATCTTATCCAGGTACTTCATGAGCTTCTCTTCACCAAAGAAAAAATTCACGCCACGCACACCCCTCTTCGGTCGGAGGTACGTATGAAATACCAGTAGGTCTCTTTGACGTCCATATTGTCTTCTCGAGCTCAGTTCAACGAGAGCAAAATGCCATCTCCTCTTCAGCCAGATCTCTCCAGGGTGGCTTGATTTACTACCTCTTATACCTTATGTAGTGCCCCAGAAACCTTCATTTTTTATAATTGGGAATTCTTGCTTTTGCAAAATAGTGCTGCACATCAATATTGACCTAAGCAATTAAAAAGGAGCATTCTTTTAATTTCAGTACCGTATTCCTTATGTGATTGGCGACAGTCAAATTCTTGAGGTGGTCCAGCCTTTCTGCCAGCATAAAAGATACCTGCATAGAAAAAACTATATGACATGCTCAAAATTATATTGGTCGCCAAGCACATAAAGCGCGACGACACGAAATTTAAATCAATTTGAATGGCTGCTGGATTTGTCGCTAATGACCGAGCGTCGCCAATCACATAAGGAATACGGTAAGTCTAAAATCCTTATCGTGTCTAATACAGGATAAGGCTTTTCAGGTTGTGTGAGAACTACTAGCCCATGAAGGCCACCAACCAGCTTTTTCTTTTAGGCAGATCTTCAGGGCTCTTTAGTTTACTACATGTAAACATAAATAGAGGCTCTCTGAGTCAGGGTCTGACTACACACTACCCGTCGATCGCTGCAGAGTTGACGATCCACTGTACATCCGCATTCATCGGGCGACGTTGCTGAAAGCACGCAACGTTTCAAACTACTGGCTTCGATAAGTATAATTAATTAAACCCTGTCCTACTTATTGAGCGGCTGGATGGAACAGGTCCTCCTCAAAACCGCCCAGCCACCACTGCACATGATTCTTAGGGCAAAAGTAGTTCTTCACAGCGTTGGGACACACTCGAACTCGGCACACAGGGCAGTGAAAGTCGAATATTAGCCACTCAAAGACGCACTCACGGTGGAAAATGTGCTTGCAAGGAAGCACGATCGGCGAGTTGGCAAAGTCAGAGCATTCCGAACCACAGTGCTGGTGGTCGTGCTCCAAGTCTACATCGCATAGGCAAATCATGCACACTGCTGAATCTGGCGCCGAGTCCACAGTCGATGCGTTCGAGTGGAAGCTATCCGTCAGACTCGTCTCATAGCCTTCCTTCACGGCGATCTGGTAATTGTCGACGAAGATTTGAAGTAGCGAGCGTTTGTAGACGTCATTCTCCACGCCCAAAAACTTGAACAAATTTACTGGCAGGTTTTGACGCGCATGGAAACACTTCATGCGCTGCCAGGAAGCAACACGCAACGGAGTGGATGCATCAGCACGTTCTCAAATTTGCTCTTGCGACTAGCGATAGTGCTTGGGTTCGCGGACATGATGGCAAGGCGCTTCTTGGGAAAGCACGCTGAAATGTATTCACGCACAGCTTGGCAGGATCCGGAACATTTGAAGTCGTGGCACGTCCACAGCTCTTCCAGTTTGATCCGAAAATCGACGAACTCGGAGTACCGATACGACACACTCCACGAATTCTTCGTAGCCAAACTGGACAGAGTGCAGCTGTACACGACGGAACTCTTCTCCATGGATGTTGACGACACATGAACAAGAACCGGCAGTTCCGATGAGACGTACTGGCAGAGCATCTTGAGCGAATATGTTTTGATCCGACCGCGCTTCTTGGCAAGACTGACTCCGCTTCTTGGGGCCGAAACAAACGCAGCAACATTCATGGTATCTAGACTGGGACGCGGCAAGCACGTGCTTCGGGTAAACTTCTAAAATGAATGGTCTATCTGGCAGTGGCCGAGTGTCCTAAAGCCCGTTCGTATCGACCAGCGGCTTGCTCACACGATCCGTTGATCGCCAAGCCGATGGCCGCTGGCCGTCGATGCGAGTCAACATGATTGTCATGCGAAAACGGTTGTCACAGCAGCTCAACAAAAAGGGCTGGGTGTTGTACGTCATTCGACAGGCCAATCGATGTGAATGAAGGAGCTCTTTCGCTATGTGGATTGGGCAACAAACACGCGTCATGCGCCAGGCATCTTGTCCACAAGGGCATTCATGGTCACATAGATGCCTCTAAACGAAATCCAAGAAGTGGAAAGCCGTTGAGCGATGCTCGGCCAAGGAATCTCCATATGCTTGGAATACTCACCCGAACACGATAGACCCGACTTTGTAGGGGCACCGGGAAACTTTCGTTCTGAAGTTTGATCCGAGATGCGACGTTACTACCGTATTTGAGATCTCCTACTTCAGACTCAATATTTTTGAAGTTGTATTGTTGCAAAATACACAAGATCTGTACACGTACCGACGCATCTCTATCACGTTTTATT